ATTTTTCCGCTAGATTTAGCGGGGGAAACTTGTCCGCTAGATTTAGCGGGAAAATTTTCCACTAGATTTAGAGGGGAAACTTTTCCGCTAGACTTTGCGGGTCAAATTTTTCGCTAAATCTAGCTGGGAAAATTTTACGCTAGATTTAGGGAGGAAATTTTTCCGCTAGATTTAGCGGGGAAAACTTTCCGCGAGATATAGCGAGAAAAAGGTTTCCGCTAAATGTAGTGGAAAATTTTTACACTAGATTTAGCGGGGAAAATTTTCCGCTAGACTTAGCGAGGAAAATTGTCCGCTAAATTTAGCTCGGAAATTTTTCCGCTAGATGTAGCAGGGAAATTTTTCCGCTAGGCTTAGCGGGAAAAATTTTCCTCTAGATTTAGCGGGAAACTTTTCCGCTAGACTGTGCGGGCAAATTTTTCGTTAAATCTAGCTGGGAAAATATTCCGCTAGATTTAGCGGGGAAAACTTTCCGCTAGCTTTAGCGGGAAAAAATTTCCGCTAAATTTAGCGGGAAAAGTTTTACAGTAGATTTAGCGGGGAAAATTTCTCGCTAGACGTAGCGGGGAAAATTTTCCACTAGACTCTGCGGGGCAATTTTTTCGCTAAATCTAGCTGGGAAAATTTTTCGCTAGATTTAGCAGGGAAAGTTTTCCGCTAGATTTAGCTGGGAAATTTTTCCGCTACATTTAGCGGGGGAATTCACCCATCGTTCACCGCGTGGTTACGGCGACGGCGACGCCGACGCCGCTTAAGCCGGAAGCAGGTGCCTAAGAGCTGCGCTCTAAAAAGAGTAACCAACATATCAATTAAGCCTCGTCAATAGTGGGACTAGTAACTCAAAGTAATCACATTAGTGATCAAATTCTCAATTGCCCCCCAAAATTTCAAATTTTATAAACAATTGTTCAAAGTTACCAAATGTGTAAGCGAAACACGACCACTGAACACAATAAGTGCATATATATATATTATGGATTAAATTGACTGACCCCGGGATTAAATTGTGTGGCGCTTGGATTAAATTGTATGGCGCTTGGATTAAATTGAGTGACCCCGGGATTAAATTGGTCGTCGCTTGGATTAAAATGAGCGGGAAAACCTGTAGTAGCTTCCCTCTCCTCAAATGAGAACCATCCCGTATCACCATGTACACCTTGGTATGGTGTTTTCCCATACGTGGATGCTCCCTGAGCCAATCTACCTGCTCCACGTTGCTTTATTTCTAGCCTTGTCTGGACGTCCAGTTTTAGGCACAAAACTTCATTTGCAAAAGTCAGGTTCGGAACCATAACTCCTTTCCAGATCTCCCTCACCACCTCATATAGTTCCACAGTGCTCCCTTTCTCATTACATATGCATCTCTGTTGCCCTTACCAGTTACGCAATTTACATGTTTATTGAGGTATTCTACACTCTCGTTAATCTATACTCCAAGATACTTGTACTTATCGACTCGCTCAACCTCAAATCCTTGCATAGGATTATTTTTTTTTGAGTTACGAGCGCCGTCTGGAGGGCTATCTGCGAACTGGGAATGGAGGACGGCCCAACATGCCCCCGCCCGTCAGAACACGCTTCCATAGTCCCGTTGTGTCAGTTTTTATTGCGTTTTATACCGGAATGCTACTGAAAAAAAAAAGAAATTTTCGAAGAAGACGCAATACGGTTAAATATAGGCGTTGAACATGTTGGTCGAGGGGGGGGGGGGGGGTGGTACCTTCGAAAAATGGCGACGGTCGGAAGCAAGGCCGGGGGAGTGGGGGGGGGGGGGGGGGGGGGGGGGAGGACGCACGCGCAGAAGGTGATGAGTACGAAGCCTCTCGGCGCGTGCTGACGGCGACTTTCCACGGAACGTTTTGCAGCATGCATGCCGCACCCGTCAATGTAGCTTGTCTTGGGAACATGTATTTGGTGAGCCTCGTTCTGAGCATGCTAATTAAACAGTGCACTCAAATATGGCGTCCAGTGAATTCCCCCTACCATCGACTTCACCGGGCACTATTTTTTTTCTACCGATTTGTGAATTGCGTTTTGAACATACGCGATTTCGCCGGATCGTCCCGAAACAAAATGGTACGTCGTGCGTGCGTCACTAGACCAGCAATGTCCGCGCATATTGCGTCTGTGTACTCGTTTTCCCTTTTCCTCAAGAAAGCGAAGTTTCGCGCAATGTTCGTATGACACGCGAAGTAGTTCTTACGGTATTTGTTTGTCAGAGGAAGAAGCGATATGCTTTCAGGAGCTGTAAGCGTGTACGTCTTGAGTAAGATAACAAGAACCTAATCTAGAATGCGCCTACACATACGTATACCTCCATTATCCGCACATAGGAAGAAATTAGTAACACTCCGCGAGGTGCCGGACTCTATTACTAGGGTTTTTGAGGTGAGAACGAGTGTAGTCGCAGACAACTTAAAGCAGGCAGGATCTGGCCAGCGCCGTGGATCCCATTATCCCTCTGGAGCCAATCAGGTCGCGGATTGGCCAATACAAAACGCGGAAGGACCAATCAGAAGGCGAGAAACGTGAACGTTATAAGCCGCGCCCTGGATTTGCTTAAGCTGTCAGTTAAGTAAGAGGTGGAAATATTTACACGAACCGAGCAGGAGTGTCTATTCGATTAGAATATAGCTAGAAGGTATTATGTATACTTTGATGCATCTACTCGCCATTTGCTTAGCCGCACTTTTGTTCACACACGTTTTCTTTTTTTTTTATTTTGTATGCAGAGCTTTCTGGTATTCACAAAAGAGGTAATTGAACGTTGCGTTATACTAGATAAACATGCATACCTAAAAAAAAAATCACGAAGTTTTGCATTTTAAGTTTAAAAACCCTTTTAGTTCCTTATTAGGAGCACTAAACTAACTAAAGGCCTGCTCTTTTTTTTTTTTTTTTTTCAGCAACAAATATAAAAGAGACAGAAAGCGATATCGAAGAGTATGCCAGCCAGAATCAGCGATGTCTGGCCTGGATACACCAAATACTCATCGAAACACCAAACATGGGTGTTTAAAAGAGGTGCAACTAAGCGCACAAAAGGTAAAAATGAAAGGCGTTTACAACTTCCTGTAATGCAGAATTAGAGCGCAGCTCTTGAGGAGGAGAAGAGGAGGGTACAGAGATGAGGGGTATGCCTCTCCTCCTCATCCGTACTCTCTCCTCCTCCCCTCCTCCTCTGTTCCTCATGCTCCCCTCCTTCTCTCTTGGAGTATTTCGATTTTGAGGTATACCGTGCTAAACAACCTGAGAAAAAAAAATATATATAGCGTAGGATTCCGAAGACTATAAAGTAATGAAGTCGCCCTTCGAAACGTTGTTGGAGTTTTAAAGCATTTAGTGAGTCGACGTTTCGGCCTGAGAAACGCTTGAAGAAGGCCTGTCGCAGGCCGAAACTTCGACTCACTAAATGCTTTAAAACTCCAACAACGTTTCGAAGCGCGACTTCATTACTTTATATATATATATATCAGGGTGTCGAACCGGAACCAAACCGAACCGAAAACCGGAACCGAACCGGTATTTTTTCCGGAACTGAACCCGAACCCGAACCGTTATATTGTTATCGCGATGAACCCGAACCAGAACTGAGCCGGAAAATAAATAACGGTGACCGGCTCATGTCAAAACGGTTCGGCCACGCGCTGTTGACAATGAATGTGCTGTCAATGCCATTTGTTTTTTAAGTGCGTTCAACTGACACACACCTCGCTTACATATTTTTCTTCTCCACTCAGTCTTAAGAATATAAACGCTGCATCCATGAATCTTTACAAACTCTGCATCCACGAATCTTAACATAGGAACCAGTATTGCGCTGGTCGCGGCTTGCACGGAAGAAAAAGAATTGAAAGGCTGTGCAAAAAAAAAAAAAAAAAATCGTGTCACGGATTTTCTTTTCCTACAATCTCGTAAATCCTATATGCTGCTGTGTGCTCATCTCATAACACGTTTCTAGAACGCGCGAGTTCTTGAAGCTTGCTTCCATCGGAATGAGAAAAGAAAAGGCTGTGGAGTTTGATAATAATGCATCCGGTTTCGTATAGGCACTTTGAAGCTAACATATTTGTGAGACAGCGAACTCTTCTATTTTAATATTTATCCTATTACGTCCTTCTGGCGTTGCGTTCGGTGAAGTGTTTTTCATCTTCCGTATCTTGTTTAATGAAAACTTCCCTAAGGGTGTAATTTGAGCTACCGAAGGCTAGTTCAAATAAAGAAAGCTGTATTTTCTCCCCACTGTTCCTTCAATTGCTTACACGCCGAGGTGGCGGGATAGTTAGCGAGTTCTACTTGTAAGTGGGTTTGTAAGGAGGTCGCGGATTTTACAGCTACTGCGTCGGGCCCAATTAGATGAAGTCCGAATGCGTAAACGTCGGTGAGGTAACCTTTGAGTGCACATAAAGAAACCATTCCTGGTAGAAACCCCTGAGCCGTAAACTACGATGTATCCCGTTTCATATGTGCTGATTTCAGATATTTTATTTGTAATTTATTTTGATGTTGCAATTTGGCATTTATAATTTCCGAGCCGGTTCGCGAACCGGTTCAGCGCCCCGAACCGGTTCGCGAACCGGTTCGCGGATCGAATTAATCGAACCGGAACTGAACCGGAACAAAATAAATTTACCTGAACCTGAACCGTAACCGAACCCGTATTTTTTTCGGTTCGACACACTGATATATATATATATATATATATATGCAATATCACAACTTATATATATGTATATATATATATATTGTGATGAAGACCCTCATCGTCGTCATCGGGCATCGTCATATCTCCCCCATCATCGTCATCACCGATAGCTCGTGTGGCCCGTGCTCGCAACCGCGGGCCAGTTCGAATTGATTGATTGATTGAAGTCCTTTAATGACAAGGATGGCTCGAGGCCGCAGTGGGGAAGAAGGGGAAGGGGGGGGGGGGGAAGGGTAGTGGAGGGGGTTTGGTCATTTCAACATGTCGGGCAGGGTACTAGGGCAGTCCACTCGCGCTACACCGCTCGGTATAAGCCACTGATTTTTCCATGATCTGCGACCGCCTTTTGGGCATCATCGTCTGTTTGTATAATAGCAGTAAGGGCTGCAAGAGAGGTCACTTGTAGGTCGTCGATGCGGTCTCGGCCCCGTGCGAAGGCAGGACAGTACTTTATAAGATGCCACAAATCTGCGCGGCACTGTTGGAGACAGTGGCTGCATCTTGGTGGTGCGGCTGACACAGGTGGCGGCTGCCACTTACTGATTATGTGTGGTGTGTAGGCCGCGTTCGCGATGACTTTGTTTATAAAAACTTCTTGCTGCCTAGAGAGTCCTTTGATGACAGGCGTCTGGGGTGTAGCCTCCATGATACGCTGTTTGCTAGCGGTCTTAATGGAGGTGCGAATGAAGTGCATGTACGCTATATGCCTGTTCAAGGGTGTTTCGGTCGGATCCAGGTGATAAGGTGTCTGGAGTGTGGGATTGTCGGGGTGCGGGGTGGCGTAAGTGTGGTCCGTCCCGCGTGCCTGTACGGCTGCTGCATGCGCCGCAGCATTACCCCCGTCATTCGCTGTATGTCCTGGGGTCCAGAGTATGGTTACCTTAATTCCAAATTCTTGAAGCATCTGCAGTCTTTTTCTAATTTGATTCGCTGTGGCGTCTTCCGTGGTGGAGGAGGATAGTTCCTGCACCGCTGCGAAGGAGTCGGTTAAGATGCGATATTGCTGTCGGAGGGTCGCGTCTCTGTCAGTGAAGGCTGTGTTCTGTACATCCTCCAGTGCTCCCCAAATGGCGAGGAGTTCCGCATGGAGTGCGGTGCCCTGTGGGAGAGCACATGAGTGCTGTCCTTGTATGCGAGGGTCGGTATCGCAGATCCAGGCCATGCTGACTCTGTCGTTTCTTGCCGTTGCGTCCGTATAGACGTTGACAATGTCTGCACTGCTAGCGTGCCGGCAGCTTCGGCTGCGCCTAGCCTCTGCGGCCAATCTGAGCATAGGGCGGTTGGTGAAGCTTCCATGCGGGGCAGTTTCCCAGCGTGAAATGATCCCACTGACGTCCGGCATTGTATCGCACCGTCGCCTTTGGTCCCATAGGGTTGTCAGCTTTCCCTGGTAGGAGTTGTCCAAGCGGGACTGCATTCGGATACAGGCTTCGGTAATGATGGTCTGGATCGGAGGTATTGGTGCCAACTGATGGAGGAGGGTCATCCTAGTGTGTTTGGGCAGCCCCGTTACTGTACGCAGGGTGGCTCCGTGTAATTGTTCTAGGTCGCGTAGGTCTTTCGGAGAGAGTTCGTATACCGGCGCCCCATAGAGGACTCTGCCTACTGCAACCGCACGCGCAAGGGTTGCGGTTGAGCTTTGTCGCGCCCCGCCATACTTGTTGGATATGCGGCGGACAGCGTGAAGGAGGGGTGTCCAGTTCTTACGTAATGTTTGAATCCACTTGTGTGTGCTATTACAGCTAGCGATCTGGGCGCCAAGGATGCGAATATGTCCATTTGTTGAGGTTATTGGTGCCGAGCCGAGCACAAGGGTGATTTGCTTCCGCGGGTTGGTGACGCGCTTTCCGTCTATGCTGATGAGTTCGGTCTTCTCGGGCGATAGTTGCAGCCCCAGTTCATCTAGGGTTTTCTCTAGACTTAGGACTGCTGCTTGTAGTTCAGTTTGCATTTGTTGTTCATCTAGGTGGTCGCTAGCTTCAGTCCATATTGTAATGTCATCTGCATAAATAGTAAATCGTGCCGTGGTGTCTCGTTCCAAGGCATCCGCTACCCTTGCCATGGCGAGATTGAAAAGCATTGGCCCGAGTATAGAGCCCTGGGGCACGCCTCTGTCAAGGTAGAATGTGCATGGCGTCCACCCCGGTGCGGCTCCGTGAAGGCGTATGGGTCTACTGTGAAGAAAAGAACGAATCCAGTTGTAGGCTCGTTGGCTGGGATATCTCTGAGCCAGTTCATGAAGGATGACTTCCTGCCGAACGTTGTCAAAGGCCTTTCGCATGTCAATGGCCAGGACATAGTCAGGCATGAGTTTCCGGGATTTCCTGTTGATCACTCGCCGCAGAAGCCAGAGGCAGTCGTGCGTACCCATGTTGGGACGAAAGCCTGCCTGCGCCGGGTGAAGGCCCGGTTGGACGTATTCGAGGTAGTGTTGCATCCGGGCGAGTATCATTCGTTCGATAAGTTTGCATATGGTTGGCGTAAGTGATATGGGGCGTAGGTTCTCGGGCTTGGTGGGGTCCTTGTTGCCTTTAGGTATCGGATATATGAGCGAAAGCTTGAGTGTATCAGGCACAGAGCCCTGTTCCCAGGTGTCATTAATGATGTCAAGTAGCTTTTGTTGTGCTGTAAGAGGAAGATTTCGAAGGTCTTGCCAATTGACGTTGTCGTGTCCTGGGGCTGAGCGGGCCTTACTTTTCAATAGTGCCGCGGTAAGCTCCCCCAAGGTGAAGGGAGCGTCAAGCCCTGGGTCAAGGTTTGTTATTGTTCGCTCCGGAAGATCGGGTGCTGGGCTGTCGCGAGCGTGCGGGAAGAAGGTCCGTATTACCTTCGTTTCCACTTCCACTGGGTTGCCTTGCAGTAGAAGGCCTTTCAGTGGGGGCTGTCCTTTCTTCTTCCCGAGCATGCTGCGGAGAATGCCCCATAGGCGCTGAAGCCCAGGAATTTCTCCGAGCTTCGCGCAAGTGGAGTGCCACGTCTCCGTCTCAAGTAGCTGCTGGTGGGCTTGTATGGTTTTATACTGATTTTTAAGCTGCATGAGCTCGCGGTGGCGCTTACCGCCATAGCGGTACCGGTGCGTGAGTTCATGTACTCTTTTCCAGAGGTTTGCAAGGTGTGCGTCCATGCACGTTGTTGTCTCGTCGCATTCAATCATCTCTGACGCCGCGGGCTTAGCGCAGTATATGATGCTGGCGAGCTGCTCGAAGGAATCGAAAGGCTGTTGCTGCGTAAGCTGGCGGTAAATGTTCCAGTCGATACGCGCGTGCGCGCTTCGCTTTCGCATCTTCTTGCGGTTAAGGGTAATGAGGATCGGATAGTGATCACTGCCCCAGGTGATGGACATTGTGTCCCATTTACGGACAAATCTTGGAGTCGCAAAGGTAAGGTCCGGTGTGGTGTCGCGCTGTCGGGAGTGCAGCCCCACTCTTGTGGCCGTGTCAGGTGCATTAACCAAATCGAGAGCGGACATTTCCATGGCGTCGTGAAGGGCATTGCCTCTGGGGTCTGCTTTGCGGTAGGCCCATGCGGGGTGTTGGGTGTTAAAATCACCCCCAATTATGATGGGGTGGGAACCCGCCCGTTGTTGGATGTCTCGTACCCACTGAAAGTCATCCTGTCGTGCTCTCCCTGTGTTTGGCCTGTAGTAGACGCAAACAGCAACAAATGGTTGCTGGCCAGGGGGTTGAATTTTGGCGGCGACCACTTCGCGGTAGTCGTTGCTGATATTGGGAAGGGGGAGTTCAATCGAAGTACAGTCCCGTCTGGTCAGTAGGGCCGCTTGACCCTGAGCTCTTGGTTGTTGTGTGACAGGATCTAAGTGTAAAATCGTATTGTGTTGGATCGTATTGTATCCTTGAATATGGCATGGGCCTCGTGTTTCTTGTAAAAAAATCGCAATCGGTTTTAGGTGGGTTACACGTCCCCTGAGTGTTGTTCCGGTCTGGATGTAACTTCTGCAGTTCCATTGAAGGCAGGTAAGCGACTTGCTCATTTTCCCTCAGTGGGAAGCTTGCGTCGTTTCACGTCGTCCCTCTGTGTGATTTGTCGGAGTTCTGTCATTACTGCCTCTAGCTGTTCATGGAAGGTAGTGGTTAATGTCGTGAGTTCCTCTCGGAAACTGTTTTCAAGTTTGCGTGATTCTGTGTGTCTCTCTTGCCGGAGGATGCCTAGAATTTGGACGATGGACATTTCGTTCGTTGGCATGGGTACCTTGGGCACGGGCCGTCTTTTTGGAGTGCTGCTACGTGCTCTCGGTGTGCGAGTTCTGCTTCGAGGTTTTCTCTGCGTTATACTCGAAGTGTTTTCCGTCACAACTTCCCCACTCACAGAAGATTGGGTTGACAACTGCGTCGCCAGCTGCTCCAGTTTGATACGTAGCTGTTGGTTTTCGAGGCGCAGTTCATCGATTTGTCTTTGATATTCATTTACCTGCGACTTTGGCTTATCCAAAGTAGTTTTGGACTTAGCTACTGTTGCCCATGTCACCGTCTTAGAATTCTCGTTACGTGTCGTAGCTTCTGGGGGTGCCTGAATAAGTCTGCTCGGACAGGCCGAGTTCAGCGAGATGTGGCCGGGCTTTTGGCAGGCGACGCAGAAAAGGTCCCCTATGCAATCGGGATCCGGGGGATGCTGGGGACGACCGCAGTCTCGGCAAACCGAGTCCTCGGGACAGTGCTTGGCAATGTGGTCCAGCCCGTGACAGTTGAAGCACACTATGTGCTTGGGGCGGTAGTCGTACACCCTTACTAGTTCGTAATCGAAGACGATCTTATAGGGAGGCTTTTCAGTGTCGAAGGTGATGAGCAGCATATCGGTTTTCCCGAGTCTTTTGGCGTCAAGAATGGTAGCGGTCTCACATCGGAGGTGGTCCATAATGTAGTCCAGCGACTGATCTGGTCTAACCTTGATGACCCCCTTGCTTCCCTTAGGCTGTCGATCTGGCATTCGTTCTATCTGTACCGCATAGGTTTGTTCCTTGCCTTGCGCTTTGCCTGTGAGCGTCGTTAGCTTCGAGAGTTTATCAGCATGTTGCTCGTCTCGTACTGTCACCTTTACGCAGTTCGCAATGGGATCGTAACGATAGAGAGCTAGATTTGCTATTTGCCAGTTCCGCGCCGTAAGTTCTAGGGCCGTCGTAATGGCCTGCTTTGGTATATTATGTACATGCGTCTTATTCAGTGGCCTAATCGAGAGGATGTAACGGGGCCGACTTATCCGTTCGGTGCGGAGCTGCGAGGGCTCTATTTTCCTCTGCGGTTTTCGTCTGGTGTAGGGCATCCAGCCTTCTTCCTCGTTGACTGCTGTTTCTTCGTCACTCAAGGTTCGGTCTGTGTCCATTCGGTTGCTCTCGGGTAAGGACGCGTCTTTTGGGGCGTTCCCTACGCGGGAAGACGTAGACTGCGCGCAAGGCAGAGCCCTGGTTTGGTTGCATGGGGTGGTGGTATCACTTGTGAGGTGGAGTGATGCCTCTATTGTTCCATTTCCTAACATGGCCGAGTTCATAGGGTCACCGTCCGTGGGTCCGGGAGTTGAAAAGAGGTCAAGAGACTGGGAACGGGGCCCAGCTGACGCCATAGTGGCTGAGACTCTGGCAGACTGGGACGCCGCACCCCTCGCTAGGCCATAGAGTAGATTAGGCCTAGCGAAGGGCGGCGACTCTTTGCTCCGTGAGAGTCGTAATTCCCTTGAAAGTCGAGGACGTGGAGCTTGCACGCTTACCGACGAAGTTCGCCGGGGCGTTGAGGCCTTTGTCGCAAGGTTAGGGCGAATTTTGCGATATTTCAAAGTAAGAAATATACGGAGCGGTAAGGACGTGCGTCTCTTCCAGTTCCCAGTTCGAATATAATCATCACTGAAAGCGGTCGTTGAGCTTCTGTCTTCCTGACATTATTGGTGGAGGTGCGGGGTAACGATCCCAGTAGCGACGTTCCATCACTCTGGAGCTTCGTCCCAGAAGGCGAATAGCGACAATGACCAGCAGTGGCCAATCCTCCTCCGGTGCCTCTGCAGCTGCAGTCAGCCCTGTCCCCAGCCAGCTCCGACATCCCAAAACCTTTGCCGGACTCCGAGAGGACGACGTGGAGGACTGGCTGGACGTCTACGAGCGAGTGAGTCTTTATAACAAGTGGGACGACCAGGCGAAACTGCGGAATGCTATTTTTTATCTCTCCGATGTGGCCAAGATCTGGTTCACCAACCATGAAGATGAAATCGTGACATGGCTGCTATTCAAAACCCAGCTAGCCGAAATCTTCGGCAAACCCGCCAATCGTAAAGCTGTAGCTGAACGAAAGTTGGCAGCACGAATTCAATCTTCTGGCGAGACGTATACTTCCTACATCGAGGATGTCCTCGCACTTTGCCGCCGTTGCGACAAGGACATGTCGGAGGCCGACCGAGTCCGCCATGTGATGAATGGGATCTCTGAAGAGGCATTTAACGTCCTTCTTGTGCAAAATCCTACGACTGTTAAGGACATCACCACGCATTGCCAAAGGCTGGATGAGGCCCGCAACTCCCGTCTTCAGGTTCGAGCACTGCATGACAGCTCATCAATTACCATGCCTTCTTTATCGACCGATACCCTGAAGCAAATGATAAAGAAAATAGTACGAGATGAACTTTCCCATTTTCTCCGACCTGCTGCAAGTCACCAGACGATTGAGAGCGACGACAGCGGGTTGCGCCGCATTATCCAACAGGAGATTGCTTCTGTCGTCACACCAAAAGAGGCTTCCCCTAAAGTCACCGATGGGCTTCGAACTTCTGATGAAACTCCTCGTTCGGGAGTTCCTCAACTGATTCCGGACCTTCCTGCTCTGGCTTCTATCTCGCCTGCTTTTAACAGGGGTCCTTTACCCCCTTGGAGCAGCCGCCCCACTTATCCCAACTACGGATCCTGGGGATATCGGTCGCGCCCAATCTGCGATTATTGTGGGATTACCGGCCACGTGGCACGAGTTTGCCGAAGAAGACAACAGGACTACGAAACCCGCGACTACTATAGTCGAGAGCGAAACAACAGAGGGTATTGGAACCAGCCGCGGGATCAGTCTCCACCCCCGGATCCCTATCCAGCACGTCGTCCGGAAGCTCCACGGCGCCGCTCCCCATCTCCGTGTCCTCGCTCTTTCTCACCCATGATCTCGAGGAGAGACGCGCGGCCCAATACGGGAAACTAGGTTCCGCAGTTGTTGGAGGAGCAACTGCGTCACGGGAGAGTCTTCATCATCCTCCCTCTGACCCATCCAATCTCATCGAGGTACATATCGACGGCTTACTCCTGTACGCTTTAGTTGACACAGGGGCGGCTACTTTCGTGATAAGAGAGGACATTTGCTTACGTCTTCACAAAGTTAGAACACCCCTACA